AAACACGCCACGCTCACATAACGGGTGCCTCTTTCTTCCCGTCCCCTGATCCCTTGTTGACTGCAGTCCACGTTTCCCAATCTCCGGACTGCACTGGAACAGTTTTGTGGATTTCTTACGGCACCGCTGACATTCAGCTGAGAGATTGCTTGTGGGAGTTCTGTGGGAAGCACAGCCCCTCTCTAGTATGTCCTGCCCATTTCACGTGTGTCTTTCTTCTGGCCCTTCAACCCTCTGCTAACCTTTTTCCACTTTTCCCCCCGACTCGAGGCTGCTGAAGCCCAACAATGGGTTTTTTAGTGACACCGCCAATTTTCAGCGCACAGCCCGCTTCTAGAGGGTGGGGCTTAGCGCAGTTCACGTTTGCTCTATGCATCTTGTCCTACCTACCCGTGTCAACCTTTAACTAAGTTATTCGGGCAGGCCAAATTTCACCACAAACGAACAAACAATCAAACTAAGCAAATCGTATATTAAAGGGATCTTTGCTCAAGTGTTCAGAAGTGAAGTCTTTTCGAATTCATTCTGTTCTGTGCAAAATCTTGTTAGTAAACCATAAACTTGATGAAGCACTCGAATAACATTGTTTACTCTTAACGATTTCAGATGTTTCATTCTTTTTTAATTTGAACGACAGATTACAGCACCACATATTCATTGAATAAATTCCCTATTCCTATTATATCATTTACATATTCATCACAGTTATCAATGATCACGATCTTTTGTAGTATAACATATACGCTTCAGAAGTCTGGAAATGAAGTGTATTCGAATTTTTGCAATGAAACATTCCACGAATGATTTCTGATCACTACTCGCGATCACTAGAAAGAACCGAACCACTCACATTTATGCCACTGGCCGACGAGGGCGAAACACTCTCGTCATCAAACCGCAGCCATTCACCAGTCGTTCCATGACAAACTAACGCCGTATAGTGACCACTATTTAACCGACCACAGTGATTCTGAACAGCACTCATAAATAGTCTTCAAATTGATGCATCAACTAAAATCCCCTCACCGTTACTGCATACAAGCGATACGGCTCTGCTGATTCAGGTGAGTTTTCATGCAAATATTCAGAAAGATCAAGTCGACCAGGATCAAAATCTACTGGCATAGTATTCTTAGCATAGTCCCCATTTTCCATGGAAAAACGCTTCAGGTGAACAACCTGAACAAGAGCTTATACAGCCTGATAAGGGTAAATTGCCTTATTTTCCTTTGAGAAAAAACCTTAGTTTCCTGAAAAATGGAATGAAAAGCACCGCATTGCCGCACAGTGCACCACTTCTTATATCGATAATTACGACCCAAAATGTTCTCGTTAACAATGGTTGAAAGTAACACGAGATTACAGTTAGAAAAGAGGTTCCACGAGAGGAAGCGAAAAAAGGCACGGTCTCTCCCAAGTCGGCATTACAAAAGTCATAGCTTATCGAATGGTATCACTCACTGAGTGCCATCGTCCCCATTCTATACCATTTACAACTTGCCTACAACTTGTAGAGTGCAAGTTGCACTACAACGTTGACTAGTTACAACAAGAAGCTAACTTCAGTATTACCACCACGCTACAGTGAACTTTGGCCAGTACCACAGCGAGATTTGTGCGGGACCGCTTGCATATCTTTCGTAATTTATATGTCTAGTGATGGTTGACATTTTCGCTTTTCCAATCACTAAGCATGCAGTGAAATTTCATGAGATAAGTTGGGAAACCACTTGTAAGAGAATATTCTGGTATGGAGTAAGTTAAAAGTAATTCGGCTACTTATATATATGTAATTGTTCTCCAATTGCAAAAAGCTAGAAAAAAGCGTTGTAAGCGTAGTATGGTCGACGTGCGACATGATATGTTTCGACCTAGGGGTTCTATATTTTGGCATACGCTGCGCATATGCCAGGCATAAAGAACATCCGCCTAGACGAAAGAAAGCACAAGTGAAATGCATATGAAAAAAATAGTGATTGTTAATAAATTTTATACTTTGTAATTGTAAATTTTATATTTGTAATTGTTTATTTTCTTAAAATTCCAATTTTGTGTCGATATTGATTATTATCTTTCTACATTTATTTATTTTTTGAGTTGTTTGTAGAGTTTTAAAATGATTTATTGTGTTTGAACTATATCCATCCTACTATATATAAACGGCAACGTCTGTTTGTCTGTCTGTCTGTCCGGAAATTCGGAATCACCTGAAGAGCCAGTTGGAGGGGGCGGGTCAAGGGTGGGTTGGGTAGGGCATGGGTCAAGATGTACGGAACACACATGAACTGAGCTAAGCTCCGCCCACTGTGGGCGGGGCATGCGCACAGTTGTGAGTTACATAGTTCAAAAATTCGTAGTTCGGTTCTAGAAGATCCCGGAGAGCGGAAATTGTGGGAAACGATAAGCAGTCAGTTGGCGGATGAAATGAGGGAGTCACACCCGTGATGGACGGGGCGTGCTATAGGTGGGCGGTGCTCGCTACAAAACTTTCAAAAATTCGTAGTTCGGTTCTAGAAGATCCCGGAGAGCGGAAATTGTGGGAAACGATAAGCAGTCAGTTGGCGGATGAAATGAGGGAGTCACACCATGATGGGCGAGGCGTGCTATAGGTGGGCGGTGCTCGCTACAAAACTTTTAAAAATTCGTAGTTCGGTTCCAGAAGATCCCGAAGAGCGGAAATTGTGGGAAACGATAGGCAAACAGTTGGCGGACGGAATGAATGAAGCACACCCGCGATGGGCAGGGCGTTCGCCGAAGTGAACGGTGCCGGGGACAAAAACCCTCAAAACATATCCGAAAAACTCCAGGAAATGGGGAGTAAGTGAAACTGAGCAATGGTTGGGCAGATGAAGTTAGTTAGGGATAACCGTAGGGAGTATACCAAATGGTTGGTGCCGTTTATTCTGCGCTTCTTCATCAGTAACGGGATTGCGGTATAGAAAATTTTCGATGAGACTGTCTGCTAGGGGGGCCCGGGGGGGGGGGG